TAAAATTGATATATGATCGTCAACTGATTGACTCATGTCATTTTCTTAAAAGGCTGCAAATCTGAAGTGGGGTTAGGAGATAATTATCTATCTCAACCTCCTTTGGGTTTCATGGGATTATAAATTAATTGAATCCTGAAAATGATACTATTTTTAAAAATTTGATCGGAATATATTGATAATTTCCCTTTATAAAATCCTAACAAATGCAAGGTTTTGCTTTGAATCTTTACAAATGTGCGTTGGACTGCAGGCCATTCGCTACATCATGAAAGTGTATATCCAGCCAGGAGCAGCCTCTAGGAGTAACTTTTATACCTGGTGACCAGTGGTTCCTGACAAGGAGGAGGAGGAATGGAGCTCACCCAAACCACCTCTTTACCAGCTTGTTTCAGTTTTTCCAAGTTATTTAGCAGCATCTAGTATGCAATATCTTAATATTTTATCATTTATATCCCTCAATTAGAATGTAAGCTCCATTACACAGGATTTCAGTCTGTTTTCCTCACTACTGTAAGGAATGGCACTTGGCACATGGTAGATATTTAATAAATATTTATTGACTAAGTGAAGCTACTTACAATAGCCTGACACAGAGTGAGAAGTGGGGGGGTGGGAAAATGCACAAATGCATTCTGGAGCCACCTGGGAGGATAACCAAACGTCTCTAGCCAGTTTGCGCTTTTAAACAAACAGCTGTTCTTTAGAGAAGAATAAAACACCGCATCACTGGCTTTAAGCTGCTCATCACCTGTTTAACACCTTTGCTCCTTCTGAAGATGGAACAGTTTCCCTAGGCTGATTATACTTGTAAAAGCCTTTTAGTCAAAACTCACCAAGGATGAATTCTCCCTGACAGGACAGAGAAAAGGAAAGTCATGTGGTAGAGAATGAACTTTAAACAATGCTTCATGATTAACTTCTATGGTTGGACTTCTCTGCCTACACCTTTACTAAAGCACAGCTGTATCTGGTAAGGTATAAAGCCATATACGTAAAGAGAGATGCTAGCTGACGAATGCGTTGCATCCACAGGTGATTCAGCAAATGTTTACTGCGCACTTCCACGTGTCAGACAACGCGGCACAGCAGTCCTTGCCGTACGATACTTTTAGGGTGAAAAAATATCCTGACTCTGGCAATTCTGAACCTGGAGAGGTTATCACCGCAAGAACAGAGAACAATTGTAGCAACAGGAAGGATAAAAGCATCATCTAAATTTCATGAATCATTGATTTCTGTTGGAATGAGACTGAGGGGTAGGAAGCGGGGCAGGGAGAGAGAGACTGAACAATGGAGACTGAAAGTCTCTTAAAGGGAGCTCACTGAGTAAACAAATAGACAAGGTAGGGACTCAAAGTTTTCAGAAACTGTTCTGATCTGTGGGCTGTAAACTTTGCCAATCTGTTCACCCTAATTAACACCACAGGTGGGTGGTATTAGTTTAGTTTACTCACTTAAAAAAAAAAAGCAATTCTATTCCTTCAAACTACAGTTACTAATTTTAGAACATTACACCTAAATTTTATACCATGTTCCTCTATAACAAATTCCAAGGTTTCCCAGGCAAGTTTTCACTTTGTTAATTTATGGAGAAATATGTGATGAATGGTAAGAAAGTGCAATTTTTAATAACCTTTAATCAGTCTTTGTCTCTGTGTAAAGACACTGGATCAGTCTAATACTCATTTCATGTTACTAATATGTCCCTCAAAATTGATACTGACCCAACTATGTGACCTTGGGCAAGCTGCTTCACCTCTCTGCATCATAATATCCTCATCTATAAAATAGGGATAATAGTATCTATCCCACAGGGTCAATGTAAGAATTAATTCTACGTAAAGTACCTAGAGCAGTATCTAGCATACTATTCACACTATTAGCCAGCTACTTATACTAATAATTGGTACACTTTATTAGACATCTTTGCAAAACCAGAGTAGGTGGGAGCTGCTTCCCAAGAGATAAAGTACATATGAACAGTGCAAGGCTGTTTTCT